TGAGCCAGCCTCCAACTTTTTCTCCCTTCAAACACAAAAATACAGAGTGGCAGAGGCGAAAGCCCAGGCTGAAGGCCGTCCCGAGTTGGAGTCCCACCTCCACCACCATCTGGAGTTCAACAAACGTGCCGAACGCCTATTATAAGCCAAACATTGTGCCAGGAGCCGGGGACCCTAGAAAGAGAGCAGATACACACCCCAGGGAGCGCGCAGACAGGCAGGTCGTCCTCCGGGTCTGTTTAACGGGGTGACCATGTAAGACGGAAGGACGGGGCAGTGAGTGCAAGTGGACCTCGGCGGGGGCTCGGGAAAGACTGGCCCAAGGAAGTGAGCTTTTCTGCTGAGCCTGGAAAATGAGAAAGAGCCGGTTGAGCAAAGACTTGGAGAAGCAGCTTTTCAGGCACAGGGAACAGAAGGTGAAAAAGAACTGAAATGAGAAGGAAGCTGAATTTTTTTTTTTCATTTTCACGTGTTTTATTTTACTTTCTCTATGTCAATAGCTTTGGGGGTACAGATCGTTTTTGGCGACGTGGATGCCGTGTATAGTAGCGAGGAAGGCTGGGCTTTAAGTGTACCCACCACCCCACCTGTGTACATGGTACCCATAGGTGATTTTTTTTGTCCCTCCGCCCCTTCAGAAGTTTGGAGTTTTGAGAAGCCGAACTAAACCTTGCACAGAGAACAAGAGACGTGGGCACAAAAGCAGGCTGTAGGAGGCTGTGGAGGGATGTGAGGGATCGACTGTGCAGGCTGTGGAATGAATGATTTTGAATGTTATCTTAAAAGATCGGGCCAGGGTGCTGGCAGTGGGTTGGGGATGGGAGACAGATCTGAAAAACAGTGAGGTAGCCTACTGGTACCAGAGTGAATGAGGATGTGTTGAAAAAGAAGGTGGGGTCAAAGTGACAACCAGATTTCTGGATGTGTTGAAAGAGAAGGTGGGGTCAAAGTGACAACCAGATTTCTGTCAGGAGCAACAGGATGTCGGGGGCAAGATGAAGAGTTCAGTTGTGGACATGACTGACCTTGATGTACCTGTGAAAGAAACAGAGATGTCAGATATGCCTTAGATAAACAGTTCCTGGCTAAGAATGGCAGCAGGGGTTACTTGTCTGAATTTTGGCAGGCTTGTGGAAACTGAAGCCAGGAGAGTGGTTGAAATCACCAAGGGAGGACGTTCAGGAGGAGACGAGTTGGGATCCAAAGACTGGGGACTGAGCGGATCTAACATTTAAGGGTCGGGGGCAGAGTGGAGTCAGCAAGGAAAACAATGAAAGAACAGCCGGGAAGGCAGGAGGAGAACCAGAAGTGGTGGCAGAAGCCAAGAGGAGTGTGCCAAAAATAAAGCTAAGGGCAACTTTGTTGGATACTGCTGCCAGGTAGGGAGAGAAGAACAAACACTCTTCCACTGAATGTGGCAAGCTTGGAGGTTGCTGGTGACTGTGTGGGGCGGAATGTCTTGTCTATGAACTGTGTCATTTTAGCTATGATGGAAGTTGTGAATATTAATACATTTATGGCTACTTCAGGGCAAGGAATGTCAAAATGTCACTACCTTTTTTTCTGGTCTGTGCATTTTATTTTAATTATTATTATTTTTTGGTCACTACCCTTTTTACAGATTTTCATGTTTGTATTTATGAAGTCTGAATTACATATGTAAATTCTTCTACTTAAAGGTTTCTTTTTTTTTTTTCAGGTAGCCAGATGCTTTGTTCTGAGTCTCTTATCTTAGGAAAAAGCTGTTCTCCCTCCCCTTTTGAAAAAGGATTTACACAGAACTTCACCAAAGAGCTAATGGGATTAAGTACAAGAGGGCTGGAAATGCCCAGGCCCTCTGGTGTTCCCACGAGTGCCTGCTTACACACACGTGACTCTCCTTGGGACTTCAACCCCTCCCCTGCCTTCAATTACCATGAACCTGCCAAAATTCAGTCATGTAATGCCTACTGCCATTCTAAGCCCAGAACTGTTGATCTAGCTGACATCTCTATTTTTCTCTCACAGGTGCTTCAAGGTCAGTTATGTCCACAATTGAACTCAGGCACACACACATAGTATCCTCACCTGGCAATTCCTTAACAATCAAATTCCTTACTGTTCAACTGGATAAATAAATACATGTAAATCTCATAGTGTAGTGCCTGGCACATAGTAGTATAGAAGTCATGGCTGTTTTAGCTATTAAACTGTATTGTTGTTATTATAATATTATTGTATTCCATTCTAGGCTGTGGGGAAAGCCTTGCAAGTTCATCTACTCCTGACACAAGCAATGTCAGTTTACAGCTCAGGACCACACAGACGTTTGAAGTCGTCTGCCTTCACATAGACAAATGAAAGCTGTGCAGGTTGTATCTAAATGTGGTTTGAACATTGCATTTTCCAGGGAATAAACTCAAGGCATGTGAAAGCCTTTGGTAGGCTTCTGATCTGCTTGTTGTTATTTGTCAGGGTCTTACTCCATCACTCAGGCTGGAGTGCAGTGGCCTGATAACGGCTCACTGTAACCTCGACCTCCTAGGCCCATGTGGACCTTCGGCCTCAGCCTCCCCAGTCGTGGGGACTACAGGCACATACCACCATACCTGGTTGATTTTTTTGATTCTGTGTAGAGATGAGGTCTTACTATGTTGCCCAGGCTGGTCTCGAACTTCTGGGATCAAGCAAACCTCTCACCTAGGCCTTTCAGAGTGCTAGGATTAAAGGCATGAGCCACGATGCCCGGCCTCGAGAGCCCTAATTGCTAGCCCTAATTGGGGATAGATCCCAAATGGGGACACTGGTATGGGGGGAACAGCTGAGCAATGTGAGTAATGTCAGGTTGGAGTGAAGTTGAGTGATTAGATAAAAGGTAGGGACAGTGTGGATGAGGGGCAAGAGACAGAAAGTAGAGGTAGGGCCAGGGATGTGCATTCTAAATTAACCTAGAACCTTTAGAAACGACCTCAGGGAGGATCCATCAGAGAGGAAGAGGCTGAAGATACTGGAGAGAATTTCAAGGGCAGGAAGAGTTGTGACACAGAGAATAGGTCAAGGCACAGTCTTCTGATGGGTGGTTGGTCACTTTCTTTCTACTAGCAGAAGGAAAAGATGGGTGCACATACACGCAAGTTACAAGTTCTGGTGTTGGGAGACACCAGGGGCACACATATGCACAAAAAAAAGACCCTGTGAGGACATAGAGAGAAGCAAGTGGCCACCTGCAAGCCATAGAAAGAGGTGTCCAAAGAAGCCAACCCAACTGACACCTTGATCTTGGACTTCTAGACTCCTGACGACTTTGGTCTCTTTCAGAAGCCCAGGTCATAGCTAAGAATGGGCAGAGAAGGAGGTTGGAGATGTTGGGATGGGAGAACGTTTAAAATAGAGTTGGCACTTGAACAACACAGGGGGAGGGGCACCAACCCCTTGTGCACCTGAAAACCTGAGTATTGGACTCCCCGGAAACTTAACTACTAGTAGCCTTATGCTGACCAGAAGCATTACTGATAACATTAAAAGCTGGCTAACACATATTTTATATGTTATATGTATTAAATACTATATTCTTATAGTAAGCTAGAGAAAAGAAAATGCCATTAAGAAAATCATGAGAAAACATATTTACTATTCATTAAGTGAAAGTGGAACATCATAAAGGACTTCCTATTGAGTAGGCTGAGGAGGAGGAAGAGGAAGGGTTGGTCTTGTCTCAGAGGTGTCAGAAAAACCATGTACAAGTGGATCTGTGTTCTTGCCTCTGTTGTTCAGGGTCAACTATAGTCTTTAAATTTCTTGATCAGGAAAATGAGCTGCCTCAAGAATGTAATAGAAGTACTAAGTAGAAGGAAACACCAAGCAAACTATTTAGCTTCTTTAAGCCACAGTTCTTATCCATCACAGGGACCTAAACTATAGTGCCTGACAAGAGCAAATTATTTCTGGATATAGGTAACAAGTTATGCTGGAAAAAACAAGCTGTTTCTCTTTACTCTCACACAATACTTCTGACACCAGACGTGTGTAGTTTTTTTCCCACACCAATCAATTCTTCAACTCTCTGAATACAAGCTGGGAGTTCTACAGTTAATTGAATTCTGACTCTACCTGTAGTGTCAGACCCTGCAAGTTAAGGGCTCAATCACACAAGACCACCTTTACTTCAGATGGCAATTCTAAGTTTGGGCCTCTGGTACTTCTACACATTGGGGGTTTCTACAACTCCCTACTGGGTTCCATAATTTGCAAGAATGGCTCACAGAGCTGAGAAACACTTATGTTTACTGGTTTGCCAAACAGGACACATCACAGGCAGCCAGATGGGGGAGGTGCATGGGACGAGGACGGTGGGGGTAAATTCCCTGCCCTCTGGATGTGCCACGCTCCCAGCACCTCCTCGTGTGCAGCAAACAGAAGCTTGTAGAATCTCCTTCGAATTTTTATCGAGTTAAATAGGGCTTAAACTCCAGCACCACCATCCCTCCCAGAGGCTGGTGGATAGGGATGAAATCTCACCTCCTGCCTGCTTGGTCTTGTTGGTGATCAGTCCCATTTGGAGGCAATCTAGAGACCTTGCCCAAAGTCCCTGCATTAGCATAAACTCTGATTGATCAAAAGTGTTTCCTTATTTGGCTCATGCCTGTAATCCCAGCACTTTGGAAGGTGGAGGTGAGAGGATTGCCTGAGCCCAAGGGTTCAATCAAGACCAGCCTGGGCAACTTGGCAACACCTTGTCTTTACAATAAATCAAAAAAAAAAAAAA